TACTTATTGGAGCATCTGCGCATTGTTCAAGAAAACTTACACTTAACCTCATTAAATAAAATTATAAAACGCACCAAAAGAGAAACTAAACAATCATTTCGGTGTATACCACAGTTACTAAGTATCGTCGCCATAATTACTACGATCGCACTGTACTACGCATTACGAAAGTCCCAATGTCCCAAATTCAAAACTATAAAACAGGAAATGATTTTGTATGATAATGTTTATTTCAGATACGAACTCTACACTCTACACAACTCTACTCACGCACGTATCATTACACAGGAGATTTGACGTATTTCTCTTTTATGAACATCTTTTTTTCTAATTAATTTACGTGTAAAGATTATTTTATCCACGTAGTTTGAAACATTTTACTTATTATAGCATAAACTATTAATATATTTCTACTTTATTACTGATTTATCATTATCTTACTGAAATAAGTTTCTTGCATGTGCACGTGTTGACTTATTACGATTCGCATCGAGTGTGCATTATGTGTATAGTTACAAACTATACATACCTATACATATAGTAGTTTATATTCCGTACGTAGCATACCGGTTAAGGTTACTAAGAATCACATCTTTTGTAAATAAATATCTATAGTAAGAATCAATTAATTGAATGTGTTGCTTGTATATTAGTAAATTTTCAGTGTTCACCATTATTTCGTAAACAGAAGGAAGATGTTTAAAAAGTACGTTCATTATTCTGCTAGTCGTCAGATCATAACCTTCGCTTTGTGACACTATTAAAGTTTTACTTTTAATATTTGATAGATTTGACGAAAAGGATAGTATTTCTGGTATACAACAGCTAAAGTCATCGGTTCAGAAAGGGATTCGTTCGAAGCTGTTAGAACTTTATCCATATTTGGAGAGTCATGTGGATAGTATAATTCCAAAGAAGGATGCTTTCCGAATTGTGAAATGGTAAATTCATTGGAAATGTACTTGTTTTGTATTCGGTACTAAAGCTATTTTGTGTTCCACTTATTTTGTGATCAGTCATGATCACATAGAGATTATAGTAAATGCAGCTGGTGATCTGCTATTTTTCCGTCAACGTGAGGGACCTTGGATGCCTACATTAAGATTATTACATAAATGTGAGTGACATGTTTTGCAAACATAAGTTTAATTATACAAATAAATGATTGTGTACTTTGTAATATAGTTTATTCCAATATGCTTGTAAACTTCAGATCCATTTTTTTTACCGAAACAACAAGTTGATAAAGGCGCTATCCGATTCGTTCTTAGTGGAGCTAACATTATGTGTCCTGGTCTAACGTCGAAAGGTGCAAAGATGACACCTGTAGAAAAGGGAACAGTTGTTGTATCCTTTGTTAAAATAAAAAAACTGTGTTTGTTGTTTATCAATTGAAGAAATTAAAAGCTGTTAAATTCCTAACTTAAAACTATAGGCTGTCATGGCTGAAGGCAAGCAACATGCTTTAGCTGTGGGTACTACTACACTGTCGACAGAAGATATGTAAGTAGAAGTGTATGATGTTTAATATGAAAAGTGATTTGATGAAACTTGTGCACTATAACAATGTAATTTACAGAATTAAAGTGAACAAAGGAATAGGCATAGAGAATTGTCATTACTTAAATGATGGACTTTGGCAAATGAAATCTGTGAAATAAAAGACTGATGTACAATGCATTGTCTAACATGTAATATACAGATATTCCTAACTGTTGTATAAATGCATTTTTTGACATTTTTAAAGATGTGTTGTGTTGTGAAACGTTAGTTCGAACATACCTACGAATCACGATATTGCTCTCGAAATAAAAGCCAGATTGATAATGGATTTTTATTATACAAACAGAGTGAATGTGACAATTTTATTATAACCTTAAATGCATCAATATTATTCGGATGTAATTTTATGAATTACATAAAAATCAAATGAAATTTATATAAATAGATGTATGGAGTCATAAAAAATAATTAACCAGACCCTGATTTGATATCTACTTGACCCTCTTGATTCTCCGAAGCGACTGAACGTTCATTTTCACAATGACCCGATGCTGGAGAATAAGATGAATTGCTAGCATCAGAGGCTGGTGCAGAAGCAGTGTTCGAACCGGGTACACTGTTATTAGTAGTATTATTTTCTCCAACAGAATGAGGTGATTGTGGATGATAATGAGGACTGTGCGGGCTGTGAGGGCCATGGGCGTGAGGACGACCCATAGTATGCGGTGTATATTGCGAGTATGGTTGATGATAATACGGATGTGCATATTGCGGATATGGTTGATGATATGGCTGCTGTTGAGAATAAGCATAAGATGGATGTGGAGGTCTTGGAGCTAATGGGACATTTTGGGCCTGCTGAGTAGGTCCTGGTTGATACTGTTGACTGTAGCCTTGATTCGGTGGAATCATTTGAGGAGTATGTGGATTAGAAACTGGTCCTTGAGGTGGTAGCACCTGTGTTCCTTGAGTTCCTTGCGTCCCTTGATGAGGTGGTATCGAATGATTAGTCAACATCCCTTGTTGATGAGGATTGTGTTGTATAGGAGCCGGTGAAGATACGGGCGGCATAGTTGGCGCATTCGGAGCTGTGTTTGCATTTGCAGGTGCGCTTGTATTGATCCCTGGTCCAGGAACGGTTGTCGTTGTTGTCGCAGTACACTGCTGTTGTTGGGGCTGCGGTTGTTGTGCGGGTGGTTGCGGTTGTTGCGAATGCTGCTGCTGATGTGCGGCCTGTAGGTGCTGTTGAGACGGTGGCTGTTGATGTTGCTGAGACGGTGGCTGTTGATGTTGCTGAGACGGTGGCTGTTGATGTTGCTGAGACGGTGGTTGTTGATGTTGTTGAGGTGGTGGCTGTTGGTGTTGCTGAGACGGTGGCTGTTGATGCTGCTGCGCTGATGGCTGTTGATGTTGTTGAGCTGACGCCGCCGATTGTTGTTGTTGCGGCTGTGGTTGTAAGGACGGTGGTTGTTGCGGCTGCGATGCTGATGGTGGCGGCGGCAACGTTTGTTGCTGCTGCTGTTGCTGCTGTTGTACTGGACTAACGTTCCCACAGTACATGCCAGAATTGGATGTATGCTGATTCGAATTTCCCTGAGTCGGCGGCGGCTCGGGTTTACTTTCAGTATACGGGGGCGAAGGTATTTCCTTCTTAATTTCATTAATGGGCTTCTCAGATCCGTTTGTCTTTTTATCCGTTGCATCATTATCAGGAACCTACAATGAAATAAAGTAAGCGATTGCTGTGAATGAAATTGCTTAGTGATACTTACATCGGATTGAACTTCATCGTTAACTGAAGCAGGAGTTGGAGTAGGAGTAGAATTCGGCGTTGATTCGCTCGACGCAGGTCCATCCGATCGATTCTCTTCGGTGCCCTTTAATCGATCTCGTCTAAGAGCTTCATATTGTCGCTCCACCATCTTATTGAAGGTTTCTTCGTCCACCGCTGGCTTACAGTGCTAAAAAAAAATTTCGTTCTTTTGCATTTCATTATATGTTAATC